TTCCGAAAATAGGGGACCCTATAATAGTACCTTAAATAGTAGGATCCCTATTATAAGGATCCCCAAAATAAGGTACCCCCAATTTTCTGAAACTCCCATATTGTCTCAATTCTCGAGATTCTTTGCCAAACCTCTGCACGGATGCCAAGGCACTGGAATCGAGCCGGTCATGTCCGCGATGCATTTTGGCACTTGGGTTGGCATGTCCCTGGTGGGTTTTGGGTGAATGAAAAGCAAACGCTGAAGCCACAAGCCTCCTAAACCCTAAACCCTAAACCCTAAACCCTAAACCCTAAACCCTAAACCCTAAACCCTAAACCCCTAAACCCTAAACCTCTTAAAGCCCGCAAACCCAGCCTCCCCAAGCCTTTCACTGTCGGGCGGACGGCTTCAACCCGAAACATTCGAGCTGTACACTCGCACACGAGTCCTAAATCAGGAGTCCTCTACCCACCAACCGTACGAAGCCTGACTATAATTCTGTCCCGCTTGGGGGCTCATGCCAAGAAGGACCAACACAATCTAATGATCTGAGGTACGGGCTTGTGGTGTATGTTCTGAAACAACCGACTTGAAGTATCACTGCAAGTTGCCTGGACCTCGATCTCTCTCATCCTTACCCCATGCAAAGCTTAAGGTTTAGGGTTTAAACCAGGGTTTGGGCCCGACTACTAGGGCTTAGGATTTAGAATCGCAAAATGTGTCTTTGCTTTCATTCCTAAACCCTAAACCCTAAACCCTAAACCCTAAACCCTAAACCCTCAACCCTAAACCCTAAACCCTCAACCCTAAACCCTAAACCCTAAACCCTAAACCGTCATCTCTCCAAGTAGGATGTTGGGCCGTGGGTCCTCGTAGAAGCGCGCCCTGTAGCACTACCTATAGGGTCATACCCTACCCCTGGTTTGGGTTATCTAGTTTTATGGATATCTGTTATATAGAAAAGTAACCCTAAACCCTAAACCCTAAACCCTAAACCCTAAACCCTAAACCCTAAACTCTAAACCGCACCCCTAAACAAGGGGTAGGGTATGACCCTACAGGTATAAGGCTTCGCAGATGCAATAGGGATTCAATAGGGTTAGGGGACATAGTCTCCTCCAGTCCAGTCCTACAGCTACCAGGTTGACAAGGACTAGGCGCGGATTTCAGTAAACCCCAAAAGCCCAAAGCCTAAACCAACTTACTTAGTACCAATTCTTCAGACCCGGTTATGAAATGGCCCCAAGCCCCTAAACCCTACCTTAAGAACCCAAAACCTACTTTTTTGTAGGGTCCCTATAAATCCCCATAGTAGGGTTTATAATCAGAACCTACAAAAAAGTGGGCTTGGGGTTCTTAAGGTAAAGCCTAAACCCTAAATCCTAATCCCTAAACCCTAAACCCTAAACCCCTGCCCCGTGAACCTTCGAACTTACACTCCCCTTAGCACCCAGGGCCGGCTCCTGTGAGCCTAAGCAATCGCGAAGCCCTAAACCCGAAACCCCTCAAACCAAGAGCCCCTGCTTTAGGGCTGATGGGGTTTAGGGTTTAGGGTTCAGGGTATAGGGTTTAGGGTTTAGAGTTTAGGGTTTTAGGGTATAGGGTTTAGGGTTTAGGGTATAGGGTATAGGGTTTAGGGTTTAGGGTTTAGGGTATAGGGTTTAGGGCACTCTCCGAAACATATCACAGCAACAGAACCAATGACAAAAAAACGGACCCGTGCTCTGCCTGGCTTCTTGGCGGACAACTTCGTGCTCCACTTTAGCCTTTCAACACAGAACCTACAAATGCATCCAGGTTCATAAATGGGCTAAGGGAGTAGGTTTGAAGTTTTAGCTTCAGTCAGGGCTTCTCAGGGGTTGGGGTTTTAGATGTGGCTTCCGCTGTGGGCTTAGGTATTTGGCATCATAACGCAGGCTGATGGGGCTAAAGATCTTCTAGATGAGAACCCATAATGACGTAGGGGTAACAAACCCTAAACCTTTAAAACTCCAAACTCCAAACATTAGACTGTAAACCCAAAACCGTGTACCCTTCACTGATCCACCCTAAACCCCAAACCCCAGCCCCTAAACCCTTGACGCAAAAGCCAGAAACCTAAACCCCAGACCCCAAACCTCGAAACCTAAACCAAAGCCCCAGAGCCAAGAAGCAACTTCGATCTAAACCCCGAAAACCTAGAGCCCTAAACACCCTAAACCCCCCAAAATCCTTAAAGCCCTAAGCCTCAAATCCTGGTTACAGCAAACCCGAAAACCCCTAAACCCTAAACCCTCAACCTAAACCCTAAACCCTAAACCCTAAACCCAAAGCCCCAGAGCCAAGAAACAGCTTCGATCTCCTGTGCGGAGGGCACGATCGAGGACTCCCAGGGCATCTGAAACTGAAAAGCCTGGAGATTAGGGTTTAAGGTTTAGGGTTTAGGGTTTAGAGATCGATGCTGGCCTTTTTTTGGGGGGAGACTTCGGAAGTTCAGGGTTCGATGTTTTGTTGAAGGGTGGTTTGAAAAGCCTGGAGTTTAGGGTTTAGGGTTTAGGGTTTGGAGATCGCTGCTTTCGGGGGAGTTTCGGGTTTAGGGTTTAGGGTTTAGGCTTCTGCGGTAGGGTTTAGAGTTTAGGGTTTAGGGGTTTCGGGTTTAGGCTTCTGTGGTAGGGTTCCGGGTTTAGGGCTTTAGGGTTCAGGGTTTTTTGGTGTTTTGGGGTTTAGGTTTAAGGTGCAGGGTTTAGGGCGTTAGGGTATTAGGGTGTAGGACTTGAGGGCTTATTTCAAAGACTTTGGGTTTAGGGTGAAGGTGGTAGGGTCTTAGGGTTTGGGGCTTAGGGGTTCACTTTGAACTCGAGTCTTTCGTGGAGTTTGTGACATCGGCGATCTCTACGCCTTGCCTGGTACTCAAGGCTTCGGGGTTTAAGGGGTGCTGTAGGGGGCTACAGGCTATAGTGCTATAGCGGCTTATGCTTTTCTCGCCACGGATTCTGAAAGCATTGTACAAGGCGTGTTAGGGTTCAATATGGGCGCTTAACTACAATCAAGGTTTGGAGGTGTATTACTGGGCTTAACTACTTAATGACCGTACGGAACCATCATTACTAATCGCATAGACCCCTACACTCATCGTCATCGGGTGTTGATAGCGTTCGCGAATACGTAGACTTCTACCACCTTCACAAGCTTCTTTGGATTCTATGCTGTGGTTCCCTACCACCCATCATGAAAAGATGGCAAAGCCATGCAGGCTAAGGGCTTTACGGAAGCCTCAGTCCACTCGAAACCTTCAGGTCCTGCTCAATCTCCTGAAGGTTTGTGATGATGAAAGTAAGGCACTCTACAAACCTCTGGCTTCATAAACCCTCTGCCTCGGACCCTAAACCTTGACTGCCAAACCCTGAAGGCCTAAAATCTAAATCACCACTACTCCTAAGAAATCCTGAACCATAAGCCAGCGCACCCTGCAACAGCCTAGGCCCCACGCCCACATAGACGCCAGGTGCTCTATTAAACTGCCTGAAACCCGAAAAAACATTTGGAATATATTTGCTGCAACACCCATCTCGAAGCCTTATACAGAACCCGTGCGGAACCTTGATGTGCCCAAAAACAGAAACCCTACACGACCCTGCACGGCCTAACGCCCTGGTAACCCCGAAGTTCGGGCATCCCGGCCCGCTTGCTCGCGTTGCTGAGCCCATGCGTCTGAAGGAGGATAGACTCCTGTCTACCATCAAATATGTATATATGTATGTATGTAAATATGTATATATGTATATATATGTATATATGTATATATGTATATGTGTGTATATGTATATATGTATATATGTATATATGTATATATGTATATATGTATATATGTATATATGTATATATGTATATATGTATATATGTATATATGTATTTACGTGTACTGTATGTATGTATATATATATATATGTATGTTAATCTTGGGTCTAGGGTTTAAAATTTAGGATTAAAAAGGACAGTACAAGGTCCAGACGGGTTTTGAGTTTAGGATTGATTAGGGGTCTAAGGAGATTGCTACAAGGCTTCAAGAGGACTGTGTCAGGTGATATAAAGGCGAATGAAAAACTATCGAATCTACCAGAAACCCCTCACGCTTTCAAGTGCATCGTTGAACTGACTCCTAACGAACAACCAGCAACCCTTTATATTCGACCAAACCCAATAAAGCGCGTCAACACGGAAGGAACACGGACCCACAAATCAAACACACACCAAAATCGAAATCCTCACTGCAACATGTAAAACGTCCAAAAGCAACCGGGCCCCCGTTCGTGCTGTTCATCTCCTCGCAGTGTGCCGAGCTGCACTTCTGAGAGCCAGCCGCAGCTCCTGGTTTGGGGTTTAATTCTGGGCGTTTAGGGATAAGGGCTTAGAGGGTTTCGGGAAGAGCTTTTAGGGTGAAGGATAGGGATTAACATCCTTTCGGGTGCCCTTTCATGAATCGTTTCTGCGTGGGTGATATACCTGGTTTGAGAAGCTGCGAACTGATCCCTGCGTGGCATTGTTGGCATTCGAATACTCTTGTGGGCGTTGTTCATATGTCTATGTCTATATGAGCATGACTAGCCGCAGAACTATGTTGTTGGAGGGGCCTCTGGGGCAATTCCATGTCAAAAATATCTAGCAAAGGTTATCTGCGATCAAGCCGCCATGGGCAAGACACTCCCCAAAAACAATGCGTCTCCCCAAAGTCATTGCCTTTTTCAGAATGCCTCTGTAGTCAACACCGAACCAGAATGCTCTCCAATCTGGATTGAAACTCCTCAAACAGGTAGGATCAGCTGGAATCCACCAGCTGGTAGCTGCTAAAGCAGCACTGAGGTGTGTCTGTAATTGTCTTAATTAAATCATTCACCTCAACTTTGCTTGCATGCACTTGCTTGGGCTTGCTCCTCACGCTTGAAGGAGGTCAGCCTTGCGGAAACTACCGTCTTTCTGCTTCCTCTGCACAACCGTAGCTGTGCGCAGCCCTTTGCAAAGTGGAATGGCTGCTCTTAACGTTGCAATGCAAGCATCAAAATCGACATCAACCGATTCCTCAAACACGACACTTAGAATTTCCAAGTTCTCGAAACTGGGCAGTGTCTCAGCCAGCACCTGAAGTTCCTTTAAAGGCAGATCATGGGCCTGAAGCCTCTTCCGCTTCTGGGAGTGCTGCAAAAACACCTTTTCTTGAAGTCGCACCACAGCTTCCAAATCATCACGATGTGTGAACTTCAATACCAGCCCATCTGGTTTATCCTCCAACCCACGCTTGACCCGCTCTTGAAACATGGCCGGAGTCAGAGGCGCATACCCATGAATGCCACTCTTTGCGCTCATCCACTGAACCTCAGCGATGCACCAGCCTCGCTGAGTATAGGGCACACGGTTCATCACCAACTCGGAGAAGGGGCGCCGCTCAACCTGGTCCGTGGTCTCACAGTAGATTTCGATGAACTCCGGCGGGAAGAGACCCATGCCCATGTCTTCTAGGCGGATTACATAAAAGACTGCTGCATGCGCATAGAGCAGGTGCATGGCTTTCATGGCCCGGCAGAAACACACCTGTTCCTCCTGTGTCCGCTTGTACTGTGGCAAGCAAATGAAATCTATAAACAACCAGGTTGAGTCAGGAAAAAAATCTAGCGATTTAGTGTCGAACCACTCCAGAAGAGTCCTGCACTGAAAACCAAACGGGTCCGGATGCTGCTGTGCCTCCCAGCAATGCGAGACAGTGTAGATCCGCACTGGACCTTTACCCGTTCGCCTGAAGGCTCCACCGAACCCATACACTTCATCAGGAGGGGCTGCCCAGGGGATGAACTTTGCTTGTTTCAAGTCTTCAATCTCCTCCATCGCAACTAAATTCTGCTCCGCTTCCTGTCGACGCGGCCAAAAACGTCCAGCATCCCGTAAGTCCATGAGATACCGGAGGCTCACCAACCGTATCTTCGCGTCAATGAGGAACTGGATGAGGTCATGAGGGTTTTCCAAGTCATATTCCCTATCATCCGTGTGTGTTGTGCTGGGACTGTTGGATTCGGGCTCTGAGGAACCATTGTCGCAGTCAATCTGTGTCTGCCTCACGCGGCATCCCAAGCACTCAAACATTGCAACCCGACAGGCTGCACGTGAGAATCCACGTGCTGATTTTGGACTACTGCCGCTTAACTCGCATCCCGACTTGGCATTTCAGGGCTAGGACGTCTAGGATTCAGAGGGTGATGATGGTCAAAGTACAAGGCTTACAAGCAGACTGTAGAGTTTGGATTGCAAGCTGGATCTTGACCCACACAAATGAGAAACGAACATAATCGATGCCATCTGAGGCCCATCCTAAATCGGTTGAACTTGCTTGCAGAACCCCTGGATCCAACAAACTCTAAACTAAACCCTAAGCCCTAAAAACACAAGCACGGTCCCTGCACCCTGCACCCTAAACCCTATAAACCCTAAACCCTACACCCTATAAACCCTAAACCCTAAACCCTACACTCTAAACTTTGAACCCAGACCACATGCACAGTTTAAGAGCTCTTGATGCGCTCCGGTCTGAGGCTCGCAGGCTGCGGAAGTCGATTCTGCATACCCCACCCTTGGAGCCAAGATACCCATAAAGCAACTTAGGGTTTAGGGTTTAGGGGTTTAGGGGTTGGGGGTTTACGGTTTAGGGTTTAGGGGTTTAGGGGTTCAGGGTTTACGGGTTTAGGGGTTTAGGGTTTAGCGGTTTAGGGTTCGGGGTTTAGGGGTTTAGGGTTTAGGGCGGTAAAGCAACTTACTGTTCCCTGACCCAAGTATATATGATACAGGAGTTGACAGGCACGGGCTGAAGCCTCCAAACCCATACCCAGGCCCTCACCTGTAGCTCAAATTGCCAAACCTGTTTAAGGGTCCCCGTCCAAGAACAATGGGTTCGGGGCCACAGGAAATCACTACTGAAACAGCCAGGAAACCTTCAATACAGGCAGCATGGCCATGAATCGTGGTGTGGAGTCCAGCATAGGTTTTATAGCTTGGATATCAAGGAGTTTGTAAAGCCGCATAGGCCACAAGACCGAAACCCCAGACCCGGAGCTTTAAACCCGCAAACATGACTGGAGGTTTTACAATCAATTGAAACCCTGGGGGTCCCAAGCGCTTACCAACAAACGCTTAAGTGTGAGGCAACAACCAAGGAGCCAAGTTACCTACAGGTATAGCACCCATAACGCAGTAACCTACTATGCAGGCGTCTGAGCTCTTAGGGTAGTGGGCTAGAATTCGGGCTATAGACGCCCCTTATATTGGACCCGAACAACCATGGTTTCATGCGTATTTTCTAAAAGAAAGCTATATAGATCCGTTATCCAAGCCCAAAAAAACGTAGAAGAAGGGACCCTCAGGGAAAGGTCTCGGGGTTCGGGCTTTGATGGTTCGCGCTTCAAGTCTTTCACATGTCTTAGCGATTGGCGCTCCTTGCGTGTCAATGAATATAGATATAGGTATACATATACATGTATATATATATATATGTGCTATGTGTATATATATATATATAGACATGTGTATCAAAGAAAGTAATTATGTCTGAATGCAGGCATGCATGCATGCGTGCAATCATATATGCACGAATGCATGTAGACATGTACACATGCATGCATGCATGGATGTATGACTGTGTCTGTGTGTGTGTGTGTGTTTGTATGCATCTATGTATGTAGGTGTGTAAGTAAGTCTGCATGTATAAACTGTGTGTATGTACAGTGTGTGCATGTACCTATGTATGTATGCATGCCTATATGCTTGTGTGAACGAATGTATGTATCGATGTATTGATGTATTGATGTATGTATATGTATTTATGTATGTATGTATGTAGGTATGTAGGTATGTAGGTATGTAGGTAGGTATGTATGTATGTATGTATGTATGTATGTATGTACGCATATATAGGTATGTAAGCTGGATAATCGATGGATGGATGGATGGATGGATGGATAGATGGATGTTTGAATGCATGTATGTATGCACGTATGTAGGTATGCCTGTAGGTTGACTGCAAAATCACGTCCTCTAGTGCAATGCAATGTAGCGTCGTGCAAGGTATTGCAATGTATGTCGGGTATGCATACATGTGTTATGTGGGTGTGTACATGCATATACATACATACATACATATCTGCATATATATATATATATGTAAGCATATATGTAGATATGTATATACACATACATGCACGTCTACACATATGCCACTAGTTGATGTACCACATTTGGGACATGCTTGAACCTTAAGGTAAAGGTGCCTTGGGCGATCCGAGAAAAAAAACTAGGCTATAGAACCCGCAGCGCGCGCCTGCAGCAAGCGCCAGCACCGCCGCAATGGTCTTCGCCATCGCAAGAGAAGGCACCAAGGCTCAGGATCTGTTTCGGTACAGTCAGAGTGTACTTCCAACGGCTGCGGCAGAGAAAGTACACCGCAAAGCATAAGGCCCTGATTAAATCCTGTAGTAAACCCTTAGCCCCTAAACCCTAAATCCTGCTTCAGAGGATCGAAAGCTTTAAGTTGAGTGCATTGAACTTTCCGGGTTGAGGTATGACACCGGGGGCACTAAGCAAAACCCACTACGCACTTCAGCGTCATAAGACAAACAGCGACATGGGACGGTCTGAAAGCTAATCTGAGTAGCACATGAACCCTAAACCCTAAACCCCATCTCAAAACCCAAACTCGGAAACTCGAAAACCGCAGCATGCCGAGAGTCGGCGGCCTCAGCGTAAACGCTCAGAAACAAGGAAACTCTACACACAAAGTAGGGTTTAGGGTTTAGGGTTTAGGGATCAAAGCCTGGTTTAGGGATCAAAGCCTGTAAGTTCAGGGCGTTGCTTCCGGAGCCCAAAGCCTTACGGAGCGATGCTCCTGAAAAGCCCTTGAAGCTGTGACGACAGGACGGCACAGTCAAGTTCACAGACTGCTTGCACCAAAACACTCCAGCAGACCCACCGCAACAGGGTTTTTGCCGACCCTCTACGCTAAAACTAAGCCGTCCCTTGATTCCAAGCCCTCCACTAGCATAACAAAGCCGAGCGCAGCGGGTCGTTCTCCTGCTTCTGCGACTTGCAAGACTCATTTTGCCAAGACCTGTCCTATTCAGAAATCTATCCGAATCCAATTTGGTCAAAACGTTGCGAGGGTAGGCAACGACCAGTTTTGTGCTCGGAGATGTCTTCACAAACAGAACGCCCTATGTCTTCAGAGTCCAAAACCCTCTTCTTCCTTTGAAAAACTAAAGGCTTAATGACGGGGTAATATAGGGGCCTTAATAATTAGAATAGGGTTGCGGGGCCTGTTATTATCCTATATCTATAAAAAGAAACCCCCAAATTAGTATAGGTAATTGTTGAGGCCCCTATATTAGTCTTTCGTTATATATATATATATATATACGGATCTATAACTTATACAACCCTCGAGCAGCATCAAAAAAGTTTTTTTGGGGCATCTCTGAAACCTCAAGGGCCCCGGCACTGCCGGCGCCGCTGTGCGTCTCATCCAAGATGGAGGGAAGCGACAAAGCTAAGACGGCAAACCTCGGAACAAGCAAAAAAAAACAAAAGGTTTAGGGTTTAGGGTTTAGTACAAAAGGGCCCAAATTTGCAAAAAAAACAACTCCTTCAAAACGGCACTGTCTTACAGCTCAATCGTGTTTTAAGGTACTTAACCCAAAGGCTTTAAGGACTCATCCTTCGAGGCTTGCGGGCTCAAAGACCATGGGCCCTTCGTTGGGCGTGTGGGCTAGACGTTTTTTTGTAGGTGCATATGGGTAGTTCTCCAATTAGGGTCCCGCTTTAGGTCCCAAAACTAGTACGGCACCCTTATAAGAAGGACCCTAAAAGGGACCCTAATTTAGACAACTACCCATATAAGGGTTTAGGTGAGTCTTTGATGATGTTTCTATCTCAACCCGCAGGGGTAGGGTTATAAGGCTTACGAATACTGGAGTTTTTCTGTGGGTTAACTACAGTCTCCATTGTAGATCTTGTTTGGGGATACCTTCTAAAATCCTTCATAGATATTTGGTTAAACCAAGAAAAAGGAACTACAATGGAAACTATCGGTACATCCTTTTTGCAGTTGATTGCAGCTTTTGGCCTGATCCGGCTTATAGGGCTTAACGGTTTAGGGTTTAGGGTTTAACGGTTTAGGGTTTAGGCTTTAGGGTTTAGGGATGAACGGTTTAGGGTTTAACGGTTTAGGGTTTCGGGTTTAGGGATGAACGGTTTAGGGTTTAGGGTTTAGGGCTTAACGGTTTAGGGTTTAGGGTTTAACGGTTTAGGGTTTTAGGGTTTAGGGTTTAGGGTTTAACGGTTTAGGGTTCAGGGATTAGATCTCGTAGAAAGAAGTTGTTTGCAACGCAAGGCCTAGGGTTTAGGGGATGGGCTCTGGTGCCCACCAAGCTTGCCTTGAACTTTGACGCAGAGAGGCAGAAACTACCAAGACCCTTGAATGTAGTGCCTTCAAAACGAAAAAGTAGTACATCAGAGAGTCCCTAAACCCTAAACCCTAA